GTTTTTTGCTATTGCACAAGGACACTTGTATTTTAAGATCATTACTCAGTATTTTGATTTTCACTGTACACTGGCAGAGTCATATATTAAATATATTCCCCGAAATCTTTCTTTCCCCCATCTGGTATGGTTTGCATGACTAGAGACCACTCACTAAAATGAGGTGTTTAGGACTTATCAGTAAGCTCGTATTCACTTACTAGACACTGCAGTATGAAAATGAAAAAGATGAAATTAATTACTACCTTGAGAATCCCCAACTGTATTAGAACTGAAAAGAAAATTTATACTGCTGTTCTACCGATTCCACAGTCACACTGTAACTCTTCGCAAATTATAAAAAATTACAAGAACCATCCAGATATCATCCTTGATACACTCGTGTAGAAAAAGCCGAAAGAGTGTTTATCAGAGAAAGCAGAGAGCTGAGTGAGAAAAAGCATACACCATTCTTGTTTGTGCTATTATCAATATTGATCTGGGTTGATGCACTGATCCTTGTTTCCCACTTTCCTTAAATTACTCCCACTGAGAAAAATTGCTTATTTCTCCATTGAGCTTGGAAGCACTGAGAATGTTGTTAAACAGATTGACACATTTCTTCATTAGCTAACTGGCTTGCTTGTCCGCAATTTTCATCTTTGTTGGTGTTCTTTGATTTACGGAATTACTAAAATTTGGCAAGAGATTCTGCAAAGATAGAATTTGGAACATTTATTGTAGTCTCTTTTCCTGCAATGACTTTTCTATGTATTAACCCTGTTCTTTGGGCTGAGTCAGAAACCTTATCAACAGTAGTTCCATTTTGCACAGATGTGCTGAAAACATTTTAGCCCAAACTGTGTTATCACTTAAACTGCTGTGATTGGTCCTGTACTCGCATCCATCACCAACTACAGGTGCAAACTGCACTACGGTAAGAGTTAGACCATGCAATTTTTTCCCCAAAATTATTTAAATGTTTTTAGACACCATAGCTTAGTATCGCAAGTAACTTAGTTATTTAGAACTCTAAGCCTCACTGAACATCAGTTTTACTACTGATGCAAAATCAAGTATGACTTAGTTCACTTTCCCATCCTTCATTTGGTTGTGGAAAGGTTACAGTAAAGGAGCTGAAAACACTTTTTCCACTGACATTTTTATTAAAAAAGAAACGTAATTCCAAATGCATAATGATTTGCTGAATAAGATGAAATTTTTCTGATCAGTGCTATCTCCTTAGATGGGTGGCCAAGAGCAAAATTATTCATTTTTAAGCCCCAAATAACTGTTAACTCACTGGGAGCTGCTCTGCTGCAAAGGCCAAGACGAAAAACGCTCAGTGTTTTTGTAAATTGATTATATGCACACAAACTCCCTGCACTGATGAGAAGATATTTTGACATAACATCCATGTTGCATTTTCTTAGCTATTCAGAAAGGACCCTAATGTTTTCACACTGCTGAGAATTCAGTTTGGACTAATTCAGTTGCGTACTCTAGCAGTCATACAGTACGTATTCTCAGCTGCACGTAAATTGCCTGAGAAAATATAAAGGGAAATAATAATGACAGTCACAATTATAATAACAACAACAATAATAACTTTCAAAGCCCCATTCTCCCACCATACCAAGAGCCCTTAAAAAGACTGCATTAACCTCACCTTGTACCTGGGAAGCAAGGTGAGACACAGGGCTGAGGAGCCGGCACTGCTACAGCCCCACTCAAGAATTCCTGCCTGCAAACCCGTGGTGTGGGGGGCAGCCTCTGGTTACTTCTGGTCTGCCCCCACTGAGCCTGAAGTTAAAGCCTAACTTCACAGACACCTGCGGGCATCTTCCATTAACTTTGTGTGGGAAATGGCTGTGCAAAGGGAAGTGAAAGCCGACTCTCATCCCAGTTTTAACTTTGCAGACCTATTTCTCACGCTGTCCAAATGCCCAAAACACTGCGCACACACCAAACGTGGGGATACTGAGGTTTCTGGACCTCTGTATGTATTTCTTTTATACTTTCCTGACTGCACTACCTCTACCCTGTCACCGAGTGCTCCTCCTCACTGTACAGGTGGTGTGAGGAGATCCAGGGACACTTTTGCCTATCTGCTCAGCCTCCGTGCAAGGGTAGGGTGGCACGGGCTCCCCCAGAGCATCACCCATCCAGCGTGCAGTGCTGCAAGCTCACTGTGGCCAGCAGCACCGTGAGAGGGGAAAAATATTCCAGTTTCAGCAATCTGGGACAGAACTGGGAATAGCATCGTTCTCGCAATGATGAGCCCTGTTCTGCTCATCGGATTTCACAGCCTCATGTAGAAAACAAAGTGTATCTGGTTGCCTGTCTCCTAGGGTAGGATCAGGTCCAAAAGGGCTTCCTTAATGAAACAGTAAGCTCTTGCAGGAATATTGTGCTGCTACCTTTTAACAGCGTACACTACAGTACAAAAGAGAACTGAGCAACAAGCAGATGCAAAGCTAAAACCACACCTCCATCTCTTGATTTTCTGGAGCACAATTTTTTCCTTTAAAATTCAAGTCTTTCATCAGAATTTGTGACATATAATCAGGAAGTAATAGTTTTTAATATACTGTAATAACTGGAGCCGCTTAAGTGCTTTCTTATATTTTAGAATAACTGGCTATACTTTCTGAATACTTTTTTTTTTCCCCTTAGTGACACATCGTTGGGCTCTTTGGTTCTTGTTTTTTAAAGTTATTTTCTGAATTCTTTTAAAGTGACATAGCAAAGTAATTAAACTCCGCTTCATAAATGATAATTTTTTCAGCATATAAAATGTTGATGTTTTTTTCTTCCCAGACGGAAAACACTTCAACCATTTAGTAACTAGCAAAAGTTTTGATAGGGAAAAACTCCATGTGCTACTGTAAAGTACAATCTGATTTGAACAGCATATTATTGAGATTACTACAAATTTCAGGGGACTAACAGAAATACCAACTGCAACAATCAAGACTCCTCATGAACACCTGCTTAGTGACTTAATTGTGCTCTAATGGGCTATTACCAAGGCTTCTCTAACAAACTCCCTTGTCCTCCCCAAAATCAATTCTAGATCAATACAGACACACATGCCCTGTGTAGAGCCTTCTGTTCTTAGGACGGGATTAAAAGATTCGTTAGTTTTACGATAGCTTGGTTAAAAGATGGAAATTAAAAAAAAAAAAAAGAGAAGATGCACATGTCCCCCACAGTTTAGATCTCTTCTGCTTAACAAACTCAGCATTTGCAAAGGTTTGACAGAAGGGAGGCAACTTTTTATTGATTATCCCAGTAATAAGGCTCTAAAGAATCCCAAAGCAAGTTGCTCAGTCTCTGTGAATGATCAATTAAAAGCCTGCTTGAGAGTCAGCTTCCACCAAAATTCACTGCTGTTTCTTAGTGAAACTGAGGTAGTAAAAAACAAGGGCAGACAAGCAGGTTTATAAAAACAACTCTGTATTCTTTCAACCAAACAAGTACAAAAACTTTAAACAGAGCAGATGTCAGGTGTCTGAGTACTGAAATAACTTACTTAAAGCTCTGATCTAGGTGTATCAATTATTATTTATAACCTTCAACATCATGAAAAATGTATTCCTTCACCGACTTTGCAATAGCAAGTCTTTATTTTCTCTAAGTTAATCCTGAGTACTATTTTTCTTTAACCAAAAATAAGACATGGGAAAAGTCTACAAAGAGTTACAAATTCATTAGTTAAAACCCAACAGCAGATAAACAGCCTTAAAAAGAATTGAAAATGTTGCACAATAAAAACCCATGCATTACCCACAATTACATTTAGTCTACGATTTGATCGTGTTCTTATAGCTTCCTAGAACTGGATGTTAAAAAATATTTCCTTTATTGTGAAATACAATGCTGTTCAAAGCACAAAATTAAGATATTTTTCTACTGAACATACGGATTTATTGCACCAAGTGCTAATGAATATTGCCTGCACAAAGGAGAATATTTCAGTTTTCCATGTGGTTAATAAGAATAAACAGTCTACTTTTTACTACAAAGCTACTTCAAAAGTAGTAAATGGTGTTTTCTCTACCTACCTAGTTACATCAGATTCATCTGGGTTTTGGATAACTACATTCAGAAAATCTGGTCTTAATAGAAAAAGGACATTATGTTGGTACAACAGACTGTGTATTTTTATTCTTTAATAACGTGATTTTAAAGAAACACAGAGAATGTATACTCTGTATGCATCAGTTTGCTTGTCTGAGTTCAGAATAAATAACACTGAAAACATTTCCAAGTGTTTGTTGGTATTTTGGGCTCTTTTTGAATCTGCTTTGCTTACTTGAAAGCAAAAGAATAAATTCTAAAAACAGGCAATGATTTAACCCTGAGGGAGCAGATATTGCACTTTGATTATCTCTCACAAACATATTGATTAGATCAACTTTTTGGATGCAGAATAGTCTTTCTTGCACAGATTTTATATTTTAATTTTAATTTGTAGTCTTTTTTGCTTTGCATAATCAGAAACTACATGGTTTTCACTGAGAAGACAGTAACTCTATTAAATGTAATCATCTTCCCATACATATTTACAGTTCTATTTTCAAAATATTTTGCCCAAGTTGATGAGTAAACAGAGTGCACATTTACTGGTAATGAGGACTCACACAAATTGTTTGTATGTACCAGAAACACAGCTTTAAGATGCAGAACATATAATGACGACATTTCAGAAGAGAAACTTTCTTATCTAGCTCACTGGTTAATAGCAAATTAACTTAATAGCCCCAGAAAGAAGAAAACAAGTGATATATTTGCAAATGTCTTTTATAGATTAAGAAAAAGTGCTTGGAAATCCTCATCGCTTACAAACCTTACAATCACCTAGCAACCTGTGTTACTGCTGCTTTCAATTTTGAACAGGCAGCCTTCACATTCAAAGATGTATCTGAGCCAACTGATGCAACTGTTAAGTTTAAAGCAAAACAGAAACAAAAACAGAGATTATTTTTTTTGTTGTTATTTAAATAAATTGCCCCTACCTTTCTTCTGAGAGTACGATGGCGACTGCACTTGAGAAAAAGTAGGTTTTTCTTCGGTGAAATATTCAGGTTGGTTGTACTGATTCAGGGCCATGTCCATGTCAGAGTACTCGCTTTTAAACACGTTTCCAGGGTAACTACAGGTATAAGGCTGATTCACCGCCCAGGCCTGTTCCATATATATGTTGTTACTGTGCAGGACCTGAGCATCACAACTGCTGTAACCCTGATTATCTTCGATATATGTGCAATAATCAGTGGACTGCATGTAGCAATTGCTACCAGCAGCTGGGTGCACTTCATATATTTCTTGCATACAGTAGTTCATTTTGTTACCCTATCTCAGCTTCTACTTTACGTACACACACACATGCATACACACGCAGGCATGCATACACATGGAACGGGAGAGGAGCAATGAATATACACCAACAAAGTCGACTGCAAAACAGCCCGTTTTACTTCGGAGCAGCACCTGATGTGCTAAAATCCTATTTATATTGGGACAGCTTGTGAACTCCCCTGCCAGTCAAACATATTGGGAAGCAGATTTATGACAGTCAAAGGTCTTAATCTGTGACTGTAAGTTAATTCCAAGGGAAGATGGCAGGCAGGTAGCAATGACCACCAGACAAAGAAGCGATGTCCCAACAACCCTCCTGTTCCCTCGTTTGTCTGGAATAATCATTTTATAAACCATTTCCAGCCTTTTCCAATATGATTATAAAATGATTACTAAGGTGAGGACACAGTTATGTCACTGTAGTTGTCAACTTAAGTGTGAAGCATTATAAAGACTGCTTAAGAACTCCCAGAGGGGATACGCTGAAAATCCTAAAATCAATAATCCTGTTTTTCAGCATTAAACCATAGAAAATCCAATAGTGCTGTGCTGATGACCCAAACAGTAGTCTAGTTTTACAAAATTTAGCAACTTAATCTGTCATCAGCTTTATTGATTTTGTTTTACAGAATTACATGCATGAATCTCCCCAGCCTTCCACACATACACAATCCTCCCCACTGCCTGGTAATGCATTTACAGGAAAGCAGCTTTTCTAAACTTCAGTGATTTGGGGAGGTAATTTCTATTGAGTTCAACAGGTGGGAAACTTCAAAATAATATAATCAGCAAAAAGAACACTGCTTAAATATTATCAGTAAGGTAACTGCTTTGCTATTCTGCTTCGTTATCTTTTATGTTTCAGTAATGAAGTACTTACTAGAAGTGCATCTTTTTCAACAACAGACTGAGTAGAATAAGGAGAGTTTTTTGCTCGCTTTGGCTCACCTATGAGCTATGAATACATCAATGCCACTACAACAAAACCTACATGATCTTATAATTGCTTAATGCACCCCAAACCTCAATACAGTTAATATGCCTTGTTTATTCAGCCATTCTTTTTAATCTAAAATAAATTATTTTATTTTTAACTTATATTAGCTGCTATTTGTTTTTTACTAGGCAAAATACATTTTTTTCTTTACAGCACAGCTAAAATATGGGAAAACTTGTGAAGTCAGTAACAAGACGGTATTCCTCCTTAATGTCTGTTCTTATTATTAGAAAGCAGAATTATTACTGATTTGATAATGAGGTCTTAGTTTTCTTATTTCACTCATTTTAAACCATCTACAGGATTGCCAAAATTACCACGTAGGTTGGCCCTTTGTCATCTAGGATCTTAAGTATACATCTAACAACTTTGATGAACGTACACCTAAATGGTCCTCAAAAGTTCAGTGAAATAGGTGAGAACTGGGCATGACATGTACATATTTCTCCCCCTCCAATATTGTTTAGTGTTTCAGTCTAGTGCAAGGAGCCAATGGAAAAATGTTCTCCCTTCCAACATACAACCGTAACTAACCTATCTAAATAAGAAGCATTGCCAGTTAGGATCTAATGTGCAGGCTAACAGAATTCAGGATAAGTGCTTCTGAGGATCAGAGAAGTTCAAATTAATGCTTGGATTTTTAATTTTGTTTCCTCTAACTATAAAAGAAGCATCTTTAACACACATCTTTAATTAACTTGCTCAGAAAATAATAATACATTTGGTAAGTAAAAATAACTCTCTCAAGCTCCATTCTACTGAAGTCAATGAAGTTGCTTCCAAAATGAACTTATTCTGCTAAAACTCTGATAATTTAAATTAACATCTTACTTCATTAAGAGCACTAATAGTTACTGAAATCCCAGAAGTAAAACACAAATGAACCCTCATTCTCCATGCTGTTTCTGCCAAAGATCTAACTCAACAAATAGCACTGTGAAATACAATGTCAAAAAGCACACAATAAAAGTTAATTTTCATTTTAGCCCAGGCCCATGATCTAGATTTTACAAACAATGATTTTGTCTGTGATAAAAAGCCTGTCTTAGCCAAGATCCGATTTTTCAAGAATGGATGTTCAGCACTTCATAAAAGCATGCCCGTGTTTCCTAAGAAACTCTGCAATAGTTGTTTACACAGAAACCCCCAAACCATACCCACTTATATGATCAGTTGGTAATACCGTAGTACACAGAAATGTAACACATACAACCTGCCGAAGTTACTTCTCCACACTTCCCGGACAGAAAACATTCCACAAGTGCAATACGTGGGTTGTTCATTTACCACAAAATGATCTCCTGTACAGCTAACAGGAATTTATGTGAGAGCTTGCACAGAGGTGAGGCTGTATTTTACAGGTTAGCAGAGCGGAATACCTAGATACTTCTACACCACCCAGAAAAGCTTCAGAGAACTAGGCTTTAAATTCTTAGTGGGAATTTTTCCCCATGTGCATTTGTTTTGCCAGATGAGTCAAAATTCCCACGAATTTTCTCTTCTCTTGTTCTTTCCCCCCAATTTGATTTAGGTTTGTTACTGAAAAACTAAATAGAATTGAGACCGTGTGTAGACAGAGTTGTCCCAGCCAGGACGGCACCTGAGGAGATGGTATCTCGATGTGGCACAGCCCATGACTTACTTTCTGTTCCAAAATAAAACCCTCAAACATTTCTTATTTTCTATTGCTATGTCAATAATGCTTAGAAATGTGTCATATGTACTACTTTTGTCAGAATTACTGTAATACTGCAAAGGAATTAAATTACATGAAACTGTGAAGAATGAGGAGAAAAAGAAAAATGGATGAGAGCCTTTTCTGATTAAAAAAAAAAAAAGATAAACACTGCCAGGGAATGGGGGTTCCTTACCTGTAATATGGTAACATTAAAGAGGTTTATAGCACTGCAGATTGTTGTTCCCTTGGAAACAAATCAGTTCAAAAAACACTGCAAAGATTTAACATGCCTATTAAAACTGAAATATTTCTAAAATATTTTCATTTTAGTCTCTTAGTGTCCAATCCTCCAAGTCCTTTTCATGTATCACTTTGAATTAAATAATCTGATAAAAGACAGTTAGACAGGGTCTTTATCAAAAGTCTGAAAGTGGAGTAGAAAATAATATTAACAGCTTTTCTTTGTCTTGTATTCTGATTTGAATATTAGAGTCTTTAAATCATGCCATGTTGAGCTTTCATTGCCTTCAGCAATGTAGTTTCGCAATTGGAATTTTATTAGTTCACAAGTGTCTGATTATGTGAACACATGGAAATTAATCACTATCAGAATAAAACCTCTGGGTGAGCAAACAGGCCAGTGATGAAATAGAAATTTTGATACTGTGGCAGAAGAAGATCCGAAGTTTGAACGCTTCACAGTCTGAGGTGTCAGTTCATTGTATTAAAAGAGGCAGAAATTACTTGCTGAACATGAGTCTTGAATGCCCCAAAGGTTTTGAAATACTCACCCTGGTGTAAATCAGAAGTAAGTGTAGTGCAGTCAGGGATGTTACACTGGGTGGGCAGAAGTCAGGCTGAGAACGCCTGAAAGATGTCTACAGGAGAGACTGCCCTACACTAGACCATGCAGCTCTTCATCAACTCCTGTTTTAAAAATTCTGACTAAATCTTTTAATTATGAACAATCAAATGCCCCACTAAGCTGCACTTCTCTTGTGACTTAACTCAGTTACAAAACCGACCAAAATGAACCCACAGAAATGTTCAGGCAAGACGGCAATCCTGTGGCTGATCCTCCCGACGGTACACCCCAACCAACCGAGATCCCTGACACACAAAAAAGAAGTGTCACTCAGCACAATCCGCTCTGTTGTGTACCTCTGCTAGCTGCGTCAATGCGCAGGTGACATATTACCCGCAAGAGTCGTATTCTCCTGACCGTTTCCAAACTGCGCACCCCTGGTCTAGAGTCCTGGCTATCTCAATGCTGCAGTTAGGGCCCCTATGTGCCACTTCTCAAAGGTTCGGTGGTGTCAGCATGTGGCAGGTATCGCTGAGCATTCAGCGATATGTTGGTTGTGTTCACACTTTATGAATACAGGTGAATAAAAATCCAGTATTTGGTCAACAAGTTTTGCACATTTGAACATGTAGTTGCAAGGATTAAACATACCTTTCTAAACTCTTAACAGTTATGCACACTTGTATTATCAGCTCCTAGTTTTGTAATACGTATTTTTACGTGTTACAAAATAATGGCTAAATTTCCTATTTATAGATTTTCTTGTTGCCTGCATTCTCTCAGCCACCTCTGATGAAGGTTATGGGGAAAAAAAAATTAGATCACGGCTCTTCAAGGAAAACACAAATCTGCACTTTCAGGACTCACACCACATAACATGGGACACATCCCAGACAGTCCCTATCTTTTCATATCATAAAAAAAATATACTGAAAACTCTAACAGCTTTTGAGCAGAAGTACTAATGTGGCTTTTGCAACACATATCATTTGTCAAATACAGCCATCTCCGTGCCCACATGATAAGTTACCACTTCTCTTTAATGTATTTATTTGAACTTACTCATTCACCTTATGTACTACGATCAGAGACTCCAAATGGTCCCTCAAAAATATGACTATGCAAATTTATTGTTATAGATTAAACTAAGAAAACCTCAAACATCAGAATCCAAAATAATACCGAGCACTGACAGGAACAGAAAATTAACTCTGTATAGTATTTATCTTATTTTGAAAACTCTACTTGTGACTAAATCATAAAGTATGTAGAATTATGGAATTTTAGTGTTGTAAAGTTACAATAGCATGTGACAGTTCTTGGAGTATGTCTCAGTGGAATCAAAGACATTAAAAATTGTCATTTTGTCACCACTATATTTATTATAGCAAGCGATACAGTTGAGGGAAAAAGAGCTAAAGCTTTCTGGCATAAAATAATTCCTCTGAGTTTGCAACAGATGCAGCAAGCTTCAAACTAGTTGCCCCTGAGGAAAATCTTTCTTACACAATAGCACACCTCTTT